TGCCCCTGGACACACCACCTCGCTTCCCAGGTTGCACGCAGAGCAAAGCGCCTCTGGAACCATCGGGGTGTCAGAGGGCAGCCACGGCTTGCAGTTAGAGGACTGGCCCCTGGTGGGTGTGCTCCCAAAGTGTGGAGAATTCTGGATGTTTCTGGTAGCACTAATGACTAAACAGACACCCGAGAAGCTTGGGACCTCTGGGCCTGCCCCGGGGCCTCTGAAAGGGTCCCTTGGGGATGTCCCTGGGGCTCGGGGCATGTGCCAGCTCCTCATGAGTAGGGGGAGGGGGTCCTCTTTTCACTCCCCCATTGCTTGGGTGGGTTGGGGGGAAGGTGACAGCTTTCCTGACAGAACAAGAGTTTGGGGAAGAGGGAGGATGTGTTTGTGATTTAGCGAGACAAGCACAGGAAGGCGGGGTCTAGAAGAGCCTTGGACTCTCCTAAGCTCCTGGGCACGGCCATCCTTTCTCAGCAGGAAGCTGGTGTGGACACAGTGCTGTCTGGGGCTCATGATGAACGCGGTTTCCCAGGCCCTACCTGACCCAGGCCGGCCTCTGCCTTTGTAACAAGTGTCTAGGCGGCTCAGGAGGAGGAAGCCAAGCAGTGAACTTAACACCAGGGGCGCTGGAACTAGGCTGCTAGGGTTTCAACTCGGACTTCAGGATTCAGTGCCCGTGTAGTTTTGGTGCCTCAGCTTCCTTAAATGAATTGCAGAGGATTACTGCACCCACCACACTGACTGTGCCATGTCAGGCCTGGCATTATTTTAGGTGCAGAGGGCTCCAGAAGGACTAAATCGGGTTCCTTGCCTCTAAGATGCTCAAGGCTCACAGGTGTGGAAATGGGCGATCGGGATGCAGGGTGGTAAGTGCGATGTGAGCGGCTGGCTCTGAGCACACCAGCCTTGGAGAGCAAGGAAGGCCTCCTAGAGGAGGTGATGTTAAAGAAAGTTCTGCAGGACGAATAGGAGTCATCCAGGGGCTGAACGCCAGGTGCCGGGGAACACACGCCGTAGTGCACATTCTGGGCCGCCCGCTGAGTCAGAGCGGACGAGGTCTGTGGCGTGAGAGGCAGGACTGCCAGGGTTTGAGGCTGGAAAGATGCGCAGCCTCTTTGGGTTGAATTGGGTCCCCGTTGCCTTCGGTTCTGGCCAGCTCATCTCACACACGGTACATCCTTACCACGAAGGCCACCTGGTGTGCCGAACAACAGCACTCGCCCTGGACCAGCCAGCCAGCTCTCTGTTTGGTACAAGAAGCCACAGAGGCCCGACTCCCCGCCCACGGAAACACGTGACCACTCCCAGTGAGAGGAGTGTTAAGTAACTGTGGGTTCATGCTTCCAAAGCATCTCATGGAGATTCAGGGAAGTCTTCCAGGGGCCCCAAGCTTCTCGGGTGTCTGTTTAGTCATTAGTGGTACCAGAATTCTCCACACTTTGGGAGCACTGGAAGTTTTCACTTCCAGGGAAAACTGACATGGGCTAACTCTTGGAAGGTGAGTAGAAAGGAACAGGAAGACAAAAGAAGGAAGGACATGGGGTGGAGAAGATCAGCCAATGTGAGAATCAGGGCTGGTTCGAAGGACTCCAATTATGGCTCAAAAGGAGAGGACTGGTGAGACACGAGGAGAGGGAGGCAAGGCCTTTGGGTTAAACTAAGGAGTTTGAAATTCATGCTGAATGAGACCTAGTGAAGGTCTCAGTAGAGGACTAGGGTGATCAGTGGACTCACTGGGATACTCTTGGCTGTAAGGGACGGAGCACATGGCGACAACAGCTTAGGCAGTGGGAGGCTGCTGATTCCCCTTAGGAAGAAAATGCCAGGGCTGGTGCAGCAACGCGGCAATGTCACCAGGAGCCAGGGCCCTTTCTGTCTCTTACCCCAGCCGCAGCCTCTCTGTGGTTTCACTCCTCAGGATGGCAAGAAGGCTGCTATGGCTCCGGCCAACATGGCTTCTACAACATCCAGAACAGGAAGTGAGGAGGCATCTGTCTCAATGAGTGTCTCTCGTCTGGGGGAATTTTTGGTGATTACAACTGGGGAGAAGCGCATGATATCTAGCTGGGAGAGGCCAAGGATGGAGCCAAACAGGACAAACTCGCATGAAAGAAAATTGCCGACATGGCAATGGCGCCGAGGTTGCAAAGCCCTGGCCTAAACTGATTGGGTGCCCTTAGCTTAAGCGGGGAAGGTGGGGTATCCTCCCTCACTCTACAATTGGAGCGAGAGCCCAAAGATCCCCCTCTCTGGCTTGGCTTCTGAGTGACCTTAGACACTGCCAGATACGTAAATGTACGACAAAGCCACACTTGGTATGGTTAAGTGTAAGAAATGAAACCATAAAACCAGGAAGGCAGAAATAGTTACCAGATGGATAGGGAAAGACCTTATAAAGATACTTATATATTTCCATATGTTACACATAGACTACGTCCATGCTCCTCAGCACATGCCATTGGGGAAGGGAATTATTATCTGTCAGACATTGAATTGCTGATAGACTTTTCTTTCTATGTGATACATCTTTGGTTCCTGAAATTTCCATTCCACTGTTGTGTTAAATGGAGTGCCCTTCATTTTTTTCAAATTTTCAAAGCAGAATGTGTGGATTGATCTTGCTATGATGGGGGCAATGATGAGGGAGGAGGGGAGGACATTGGCTTAGAGGTGAGTGTTGCTAACCTACAAGAAATACAGCTTGTGTATGGTCACCCCCAAATCTGATATTTCCGCCAGAGGTTTCTGGTTTGGCTTACGTTTTTTAGAGATGCTTTGCTGACCTGACATTTTTATTCTTCCTTTTCCTGTTTCTTGGTTTTTTGTTTTTTGAAAATGAGAGTTTGAGCTCTGCTGGTTAAATGTGGGTATAAGAATGCCATGTATGTATGTATGTATGTATGTGTGTGTATGTGTGCATGAATGTATGTGTAGTTTTATATATGTTTCCATGTCAACAAAGTTAGCTCACCAAGTTCCAGGCTCCTTCAATAACAAAAGATGTAGTTCTCTTTGTAGCCCATTGTCACTATAAAATTATCAGCTGGAAAAACATAAAATAAAATAGTAAACCAAGTTTCTGTGCCTGAAAATCTTCACCAAGTGAGTTATTAGAAACTAGATAGCATACTTTTAAATAATCCAAGGATCAAAGAAGTCTCTAGGGGAGTAAAAATATACATTGAATGGAATAAAAATACAACACATCACACTTTGTGGGAAACAGTTAAAGCAGTGCCGAGAGGGAAATTTATAGCACTACATGCCTACATTATGTCTCACATAAGTATCTAAACTCCTACTTTAAAAACATAGAAAATAAAGCAAAATAAACCCAAGTTAAGTAGAAAGAAGGAAAAATAAAGATAAGAGCAGAAATAATAAAATTGAAAACAAAAAACAACAGTGAAATGGGATAAAAAAAATTTATGCTGGTTGAAAAGATCAATAAAAAATGATAACCCTCTAGACTAGAAGAATGACAAAAAAGAGAAAGACACAAGTGACTGATACCAGGAATGAAATAGAAGATAGCACTATAGACTCTGCAGCCACCAATAAATAATAATCAAATCCTACAAAGAGCTCTACAGCTTAGGGAAGTGTACTAATTCTTCAACAAACACAGACTACCACAACTCACCAATTTGAAATAACTTGATTAGCCTGTCAACTAGAATGACAAAAAAGAGAAAGACACGAGTGACTGATACCAGGAATGAAGTAGAAGATAGCACTATAGACTCTGCAGCCACCAATAAATAATAATCAAATCCTACGAAGAGCTCTACAGCTTAGGGAAGTGTACTAATTCTTCAACAAACACAGACTACCACAACTCACCAATTTGAAATAACTTGATTAGCCTGTCAACTATTAAGGAAACTGATGTCATAATTTAAAACTCTCAAGAAAGAAGTCTCCAGATTCAGATAATTTGACTAGAGAATTCTTCCAAATGTTTAAAGAAGAGAGAACACTTCCCAATTCATGTTGTGAGACTGGTATCAACCTGATACCAAAACTAGACAAAGAAAGTACAAAAATAAATATAACTACAGACTAATATCCCTCACACATGTACATGAATAAAATCCTTAACAAAGTATTAGCAAGTAGCGTATGGGGTTTATTCAGAGATTGACTTCAAGTCAATCGGTGTAATCCACTATATTAAAAGGCTAAAGAAGAAAAATCACAAGATCATTTCAGTTGTTATAGAAAAAAACCCTTGACAAAATTCAACAGTCATTTATGATAAAACTCTCAGAAAAAACAGGGATGGGAAAACTTCCTCAACTTGATAAAGAATATCTATTTAAAAACCTATAGCTAACCTCATATTAAAGGTGAAAGATTGAGTGTTTCCCCATAAGACTGAGAACAAGGCTAGGATGTCAGCTATCAATACTCTTATTCAATCTAGTGCTGGAAGTCCTAGACAGCTTAATAAGGGGGCGGGGGAGGGAGGGATACTTATTTGAAAGGAAGAAATAAAACTGTCCCTGTTCAGAGATGACAAGATGGTCTACATAGAAAATACCAAAGAATATTAAAAAAACAACAAAAACAAAAAACTGAAACGATTCCTAGAATAATAAGCAAAGCTGCAGATACAAGAGCAACATGTAAAAAAAATCAATTGTATTTCTATGCAGTAGCAATAGAAGTGTGAAAAGCAAAATTAATGTACAATTAATGTATAACATTTCTCTTAAGAAAGAAACACTTACGCATAAATCACCAAAATGTGTACAAAACAGGTACAGTGGGGCCTTGACTTACGAGTGTCCCGACTAACGAGTTTTTTGAGATACCAGAGGTCTCTCGGCCGATTTTTTGCATTGAGTTGGTAGAGTAATTTGAGTTAACGAGCTCCTTAACGAGTTCCTTAACGAGCTCAGCCTCGGAATAATTAAACTCGTAAGTCAAGGCCCCACTGTATGCTGAAACTACAAAATGCAGATAAAGCAAAGGACATCTACATAAATGGAGAGACATACCATTTTCATGGGTTGGAAGATTCATCAGAGTCAACATACAAGAGACATCCATCCTTGCCTAGTTATGGGCCGTCCTCTAAAAAAAACAGAACACACGCTGTATGATCCCACAATTGCACTGTTAGGCATTTATGACCAAGAAATAAAAATTCATGTTTTCACAAAAAACTATACATGTTTATAGAAAGTTTATTCTTAATAGCCCCAACCTGGAAACAGCCAAAATGTCTCTTAATAGATGAATGGCTAAATTCCATATCATGCACTACTACTCAGGGGTTTTATGATTAGTAAAAAAAAAAGACTCTCAAAAGGTCACGTACTGTGCAATGTCATTTACATAACACTCTTGAAATGACAAAGCCATAGACATGGAAAGCAGGCATGGTTGCCAGGGGTTAGAGATGGTGGGGGCAGGTGTGACTACAGAGGTAGCGAGAGGCAAGTCATGGAATAGCTGTGAATTCAAGTCTGGAAGGCTCGGGTGTATGCAAATTAAAGCTGTCAGATGTCATTTTTTAACCCATGTGTTGGGCAAAAACTAGAAAGTCAGATTGTTAGGATGAACTGCTCCTAATCTCTCTTACTTGGACATGTTTTCTGAAATATATTTTGTTAGAAGCCTTTTCCCATAGCTCAGGGCAGACAGCTGGCGCCTGCAGAAGCAAGATAAGATGAATCCCCCTTCACCTGACTGACCTGTGACCTCTCCTCCCTTAATTCCCTTGACCCACTCGTGCCCTCCCCTCCATTCCCTCCGCTTGACTGTCTGGCGCTGCCACAACCTGACCCTGTGTTGCATGCTTCTACCCTAGATAAGAGAACCCAACCATCCCCTCGGGCTGACACCCACACACTGGTCTCAGCCTACTGTGAGAGAGCGCAATAACATTTCTTAAAAGTCTCATAACATCTCTTGGCCTGGCTGCTTTCTGGGGACCTACCACAGAGAATGTCAAGGGCTGACAAGGATGGGGAAAGAGAGGCCCTGGGAGGCGAGCCTGTGGGAGTGTGAATTGGTGTAGTGTCCTGAAGACAAGCTGGGACAACTTAAGGCTGCACGTTCCCTCTGATTGGGGAGCTCCACTCTTAGGCTGCACACCCAGAGGAACTTGGCTAAGGTCACCAGGAGACAGTGGGAAGATGCTCAGGGCAGCGTAGTTGGTGGCAAAATCTGGAGTGTCTGTCAGTAGGAAACGGACACATAAAATGTTGATACGTGGACATGCAGGAAGATGAAGCAGAAGTCAGAAGTACATTTACTACAGCTGCATGGGTCTAGCCAAAAAAAACATCATGCTGCCCTGTCTGGTTTGGCTCAGTGGCTAGAGCATCGGCCTGCAGACTGAAAGGTACCGGGTTTGATTCCGGTCAAGGGCACATGCCTGGTTGCAGGCTCGATCCCCAGTAGGCGGCCGAAAAATGTTTCTCTTTCATCATTGATGTTTCTCTCTCCCTCTCTCTCTCTCTCTCTCTTCTCTCTCTCTCCATCTCTCCCTTCCTCTCTGAAATCAATAAAAATATATTTAAAAACAACATCATGCTGAATAAAAAAAAAAGCATCCCAAATGATATTTGATGGCACAGTGTCACTTACATAAACTAAATGCACGCACACTGGACTTTTCAAGAACATACATACGTATTCCTCTTGGCACAGACCACCAATGATTGCAGCAGGCCATGGTGAGGAGAACATTCCATTCAATTCCGTGCATCTAGGCAACTTGCAAAAATGTTCCAGGCATGATACTGGGGATTGATTGGTCAGGTTTGGGAACCAGACCAACCTCTTCCGAATGGGTGGCTTTCAATCTGGGCTCCACACTAACTCACTCGGGAAGTTAGAAAACACTGATGTCTTGGTCTCACAGCCGGAGGTTGGAGGTTTCAGTTTGATTGACCTGGAGGGCAGGCCTGCACTGCCAGGATTTTCCCCTCTTCCCCAACTCCCCCCTCCCCCCACACCTCCTTCTCACCCAATGATTCCAGGTACAGCAAGATTGAGCACCACTGCCCACGGCTCAGATTTTTATGCTCCAGGGAATCCTGTCATTTAGGCAAATTCTGATGACACTTGAGCCTTAGGGTCCTCAGCTTTGAAATGGGAGGCAAAGGCCTTGCAGACTTGAATGGCGGAGATGGGATGTTGGTCACTGACTGCCACTTAGAGGTGACTCCACGAACCGCAGCCATTAGTATTATTATTTTTTAAATGAGAAGATCATTGAATTCCTCAAAGTTAAAAGAGAGAACTGTGAATCCGGATACACCCACATTTTCCCTGGGAAGAGGGAACCTAACACAAGGGCTGAACCTCCGTGGTCCTGAGTCCCCACCAGGTCAGGAAGCTGGCCTTGTTGGCAGTTTCCATTTGAAGGCGCTAGAGAGATACGCTGTGGGCCACTGCCCTCTATTGAAACAATATTGCCATTTCCAAGTAGAGAACAGACTTGTCATATGATTGCACTTGAATGTCAACTCACTGGGGACGAGGCTGGCTCCTGCGTGAGCACTCGCAGAAAATGTGGTCCTTCTACTAAAGAAATCCCTGTAATTGTAATAATAGCCATGGCACTTTCTTATCTCCATTCTAAGCATTTGACATACGCTATTAGGAAAGAAAGAATCTATTGTCACAAACACAACTCATCACACTGCAGACACAAGGGGCAGGAACTATTATTGCCTCCATTGTATAGATGAGGATGCTGAGGCCCGGGAGGTAAGTTATCCGAAGTCACACAGCCAGCAAGCAGCGAAGCTGGCTCCAGAGTCTATTCCTAACACCTCCACTATTTTGCCTCTTGAATGCCTCTGGCTTCTTTGCCTTGATGGCGACAGTTGTTCTGCAGCCTGGATTATTGTCCAAATAGGTTTTCCCTGCTCAACACACCCTTGTCCGTGCCCCATCCGCCGGGACACATTCCCTCTCTTCCCAGCAGTGAGTCTGCATCGGTTCTCGCTCCCAAATCCCTCAGGAGTTTGGCCGTGACCTGCATCTCTGATTGGCCTGTGCTCTCCCCAGATGCCCTCACAGATGCCCGCATTATACATGATCATTAAATCAAGGAACTGAGACCTTGACTCAATGTCATGAAAACCCATGATGCTGGAGGAAGCCACATGAGTTCATGGCCTCTCTGATATGCTCCTTCCCCTGCTTTTACATTCTGGCTGGACTGAGC